AATAATTATTTATAAAATAAATAAAAACAAGTAAGAACGTTGTAGTCGGGCGTTACCGACTGTGGAATAGTCATTCACATCCCATCAGCAATTTAGAAGCTAAATATTGTAGATAATGTTTTTTATGCGATTTGCCACGCCCCTACTGTCGTGGACACCTTATTTTTAGTTCTTAGAACGAGCTAACGGTAACCTAACTGCAAAATTTGAATGCTTACGCTCAAATAACGTAAGAATTAAAGGGTATTTTTCGAGTTGGGTCATTGATAGAGGAGGTTACTAGTAACTCAACTATCCAAATTTGAAGCCCTTACTATTATACTTTAGCAGATATAAACTTGACGTTTGCCACGCCCCCTGTGGGCAGACATATATCTGTCGCAGCTTTTTGGTTTGGGGTGGTCAGCCCGATTATATATACTACATTTGAGGTCTCTAGCATAATTAGTGTCCAAAATATAAAATATAAAAAAATATTTAAAAAATCACTATATCTTCAGCTCCGATTTGCCACGCCCTTAAAGGGCAAAGACATGTCATTTTTTCGTTAATCTTTATAGAATCATAACATTAGCCTACGTGCGAAATTTCAACGTTCTTGCTTTAAAACTCTTGGAGATAGAGTTTTATCCGATTTGCCACGCCCCAATGGGCGTAGATATATGCCATAGCTCGTGATTTAGAGGGGTCGATGCGGGTCTACTTTCCAAATTTCAGCTTTCCAGCTTGTCAACTAATATGGTATATCGAAAAATGCATTTTCCAATTTGCCACGCCCCCCCTAGGGCGGATCGGGAAATTTTTAACACTTTATAAATGGAGTATGTGTTCCATATCTCAAGTCTCTAGCTTCAATAGCTTCAATAAAATAACTTTTTTTTACTAAAAAGCAAAAGCTTTTAAGCTCTCGCTGGGTTGTGTTCCATGCTAAGTGCACAGCTCTACAGTTGTGCAAGCACTGTCTGCTGTTAGGCAGCTTTTCAACATGCTGTTAAGCCTAACAGCAAAAGCTCCTAGCTGCGGCACGTTTCTGTTAAGCGCATTAACAGTGTGTTGAATTTGTTGTCAAAGTTAGGCGTGTGGGTAAAAGCTAAAATTGTGCTATGTTAGGGCATATGCCATACGCTTGGGCTAACACTCTGTAATAACCATATTTTTAGGAGTTTTTATGTATAAAGGGAGTTTTTTTTTAAGCATTTGAAAAGTTTAGTACGGCTACATATTGCTCAGTTCTACAAAGCTGTTTAAAGAGGAAAACAAATCTTTTCTTGAAAATATTTAAAAGAGTTTTTTTTTTCACATATTTTACGTTTTATTAGACCGATCTTTGTCACATTAATATATGTAACATATGATCTATTTGAAAATTGTGTTATATACATATCTTAAGAAAAAATATATCTATATCTGCATATATAAATATTCATAGATAGCCAATCCTATTTTTTGACATCTGGACTTTTTCAGTAATCAGAATTCAAATAACTTTCTATGGTTGATTGACTTATTTTATCAAGAGCTAAGTTAGTTTAGATCGCCCTGGCAATAGTTTAATCAATCAAATATTTTCTCAGACAGGTATATAAATAGAATGGAAATATATATGAGATATAGCTAGATAACTGTTAAGGCGGCCAAGGCATGAATGAATTCCGTTGGCTTAAGCTTTATTATACCGAGATATTAAATGAAAAAACCAAAACAAAAACAAAATGTGCAAAAGATTGTGGCGGGCTTTCTTTAGTTACCTACATATATATTTTTTTTCATTATTTTTATAACTGATAATGAGCATGTGTGTGTGCCTATTTTTATTTCTAATTCTTGAGGAACTAAATTCAATGACTTGAACTTCTATAAAAAAAGTTTACGCAATTTGAAGTACTTGTCTCATCGCTTTTCTCAATTACCCCGAACGGGTGTGACCAACTGAGTTATGCCCTGCCAGCTCAGTGCGTTTGCTGTGTAAATATTGATGTTATCAGTATTTGCTTATCAAACTCTATATTAACTTTTGCATTTGATGTCTGACTCTCAAACTGTGCCCGACAGGCCTTGTCAAACTTGTTCAATTCGTTTGCAATTTTCCGTTTTGCCAGATTTTTCGACGTTCAATCGATTCCCCAGTGACCCATATAAATACATCTGAAATGTTTTTCTTCAATATTTTCCTCTGTTGATCAATTTATGACTGCAACAAGTTGCAGCAGACAGACAGCTGGACAGACACATGGGGGATCTGTGTCTGTTTGGCTATTTTTGGTCTGGCAATTGATTTCAAGTGTCAATTTTTATTTTATGGCTTTTTACTTGATTTTCATTTTGATTCCTCTCTCTCTCTCTCTCTCTCTTTTTACTTGATTTTCATTTTGATTCCTCTCTCTCTCTCTCTCTCTCTCTCTCTCTCTCTCTCTCTCTCACTCGCTCTGTCCATCTCACGATCCCTTAACGTAATATTTCATTTGTTGAGCGATACAATTTAACTTACGTAGATATGATATAGTTCTAAACGAAGACACGCCTCTATCTTTCATTCTCAGTTCTTATCTACCAACAAGAACTTCGGTTGTCAGTCTCCTATGCTAAATATAATCTATTCTCATAGAGATATGTCTAGTGCTTTTACTGTAGTAGTTAGTACACCTCTATTCAACTCGTTAGCTGTGCATTTGAAATTGACTTACGAAGCGAAGCAGCCAGATTTTCTAGATCTCTTTATAACAATCAATCCTAAATTTTGATTGCACAAAAACTTGAAATCCTTCTCTGTTTTCTAGTATTAATTATTTCTTCCTCTTTCATCATTGATATAGTATTTCTAGCTCCGTCTATATCTATTTTATTCCTTCTCTGTTGTTCTCTTTCTCTCACTTCCCGATTATCGTTCTCTCTTCATGTGTCTTTTTAGATATTACCATCTTTATGAATATATATGTATACATATTTTTTTCTTTTTTTTTTTTGATTCGACTTTTTCTCAATCCTGTGCTACCTACCTCTCTGTCTCTCGTTTTATCTCGCTGTTTTATTTTAACTCACTCTCTCTCTCTCTCTCTCTCCCTCTCTCTTTATCTCTCTTTCTCACTCTTTCTCTTTCTCTGTCTTTCCACTGCCGCTCCCACAACCTTCTTCCTTCCCTATCCTTATCTTTCTCATCTTCTATCTCATTCTTGTTCAGTTGCCCGCTTTCTCTCAATGCTTGGCGTTGCCAGATTGCTGACTCAGCCAACTGCCAAATTCCTTTCAATCTTTGAGATACCTCCGCACAGGCATTTACACATACATATGTATGTATATCTCTCTTCACCTATATCTTTGCTTGTGTACTTTAGGCCTTTGTTGCACAGAGACATTTATGAAATGTAGGCCAAATGTGCATAGAGCTCCAGCCCCCTCACCAAGCCCACTCATCACCTTCAACGACTCCACAGCTACCCTTTCAAGCCGACACCGCCGCAGCCGCGGGGCTCATTGATGAACGTCGATAAGGTGGCAAACGATAATGCAAGTTAGAAAGTGGCCAACGGCGAGCCATGCTACAGTTGCATATGTCATATCACTAGAAAAATACTGAATAATGTATATGCTATATATATATATACATATGTATGTATATACATATATGAGAATGCATTTAGCTCACGCATAGTTCTCGGGGCGGAAATGCAGCACTTGAAATTCAGCTGAAATTTCATCAATCAAAAATCGAAATATCGAAAAATCCCAACAAAACATAACAGCAACAACAACAAACAAACAACTTAAAACAACAACAACAACAAAGTTGAACAAACTTTTGTGTGCGGTAATTTTTCTCAGGCCTTTCGCTTTTGTTGTTCACTCGCTGTTGCTGTTGTTGTTGTTGTTTGGTTGTTGCTGTTGTTGTTGTCATTTTGTTTGGCTGCCTTTTAGCGTTGTCTGCGCTGCGTCTGCGACATTGTCTGGCCACCAAGACCGCCTCAGCCGCCCGAGCGTCTCCCCCGCCTATCATAATTGGAGTTGCTACGTGTAGTGCTTACTGCGATATCTGTGTGTTATGTGTGCGTGTGTGTGTGTGTGTGTGCGCGCTGCCATATCGATAACATTTTGATTGCGGGGAGTGGGCTGGGCTGGAGTGGGGCGAGCACCGTGGACAGCAGCCGGCTTATTAAACTGCATAGTCACGTGTCGCGTCTCTCGACTTTATGTGTTTACTTGTTTTGTCAACTTTTCGAGCTGTTGTTGCTGTTGTTGCTGTTGCTGTTCTTGTTGTGCGTAAAAGTTGGCCTGAATGAGCCTATCTGGCAGCAGCAAAACAAAAGCAAACTCTTCAACTTGGAATCTTAATGCATGATTTTCAATATCAGCATTTGGTTTTATTTTTATATGCGATCTTAAACAATAATTGAGTTGAGTAAACTAAATTTGATTGATACAAATGCTTGCATATTTATCGATAAATATTCTGCGATCAATTTGAGTGAGGTTGAGTGTATGGAGTTGGCTTATTAAAACATAGAATAGTTGTTTTAGTCATGTGGTCCTTCTTTATAAAAAGTAATCGATAGATAATTAGAGCTAAGAATGAACTGTGCTATCGATAGACCCATAAGCAGTAGTTAGCTTGAGACCAAATGTGATGTACTAGTTAGTAGAGTAAAGTAAAAAAGTAGTAGAGTAGTAAAGTAAAAAAGTAATCGATAGATAATTAGAGCTAAGAATGAACTGTGTTATCGATATCGTTATCGACCCATAAGCAGTGGTTAGCTTGAAACCAAATGTGATGTACTAGTAGAGTAACTCGAATTTCCTCAGAACTTTGCCACTACGAGCGATAAAATAACTAAGTAACTGTGTTATCGATAAATTTAACAAG